CATATTGTTTTAAAGTTAAATATCCTTCTAAAACATAACTAACTTCCATAGTATCCTATTGCTTGGAAATACAATAGTTTGACTCTTACTTTCTAATGAAGATTATTTCCAAATGTTCAGAAATAAAGTACTTATATTCTGTATGCAGGTCACTTTGAACATTCTAACATATTGATGAATACTTACAACTTTTTGCAAAATCAGTTTTGCTTCTGTAAATTGGTCACTCTCAGAAACCACCTGTGGCTCTGAGCAGATGCCAGAACACAGGCCCTTTGGAGGACCCCCTGAGCATGTGGAGAGGAGCTTACTTCTGGGCAAGAAAGGAAGTGATACATGGTTTAGTCATTATGGGCTTTGGCAATTACATTAGGAAGAAGAAAGTAAATTCTGTGTCGTGGTGGCTTTTGGACAGTAAACAACTCCTGTTGGGGAAACTTCCTCCTTCCCTCTGCTCTCCATGACCCCAAGGTGGGGTAGGGGCAGTGTAAGCCAGCTGTCACCCTATGGGACACCTTTGTGGCCCTCTTGTCCTCCTCCCAGCCCTGCGTGGAGTCTAACCATAAAATCATGGTTTTATTTTTTCCTGTAAAGACTGGCTTTTATGACTTTTAATTTGTGATTTATTTTAGTACTGTGAATGCTCATCATCCAGCTACAGTAGCTGTCATTATTTCCTTTTCATGAGTTTTTCCTTGACCCTTTTTTTGCTTAGTAGTTAAGACAAATTAAGACATTCTGTCATTTCAGCCCCATGTAAGTCAGTAGGCATCTGTAAAAATTGCATTTTTTCTTATGTAACTTCAATACCATTATCATAACTAATACCAGCTGCCTCCTGGTGTTAGGAAGCATGGGCCTCTATCTCCTGCATATCTTGTGACTGGAAGTTAACCAGTTATGGTTAACTTCAAGGTTCATTCAAAGTTACTGGTGAGCTTCAAGGTCCATTCAAGGTTATTAATTCACATGCTTTGCATTGAGGCAGGAATATTTCATGGGCATTGGTGTGGAGAGCATATTTTATGCCATTGGGAGATGCATCTTATTTGGTTATTTCACACGTAGTCATGCTCAGGTCCCTCTGTGAATTTAGCCTCATCTCTCTATTTCAAAGTTCTTTTCCAACCTTCTAACCAATGATTTTGTCACCTATCAATGAACATAATGACCACAGCCAGTGTCAGCTACACCTTAGTAGGAGGCGTCATCCCCACCTCTCTCTCGTGTTGTGGACTGAACTCAGTGCATGCTAAGCAAGGACTCTGCCACTGAGATACATAACCACATACCCAGCCTTTGGAAGTTTTTTTTTTTTTTTTTTTTTTTATTTTGAAACAAGTTCTCTCTAAGTTGCCCAGGCTGGCCTCAAACTCTTGGCCTCCCAAATGCTGGGATTACAGGTGTGCATCACAATGCCCAGACATTTTTAAAAACTTGGTTAAATATAAATTTAAAAAAGAAAAGTTAAAGAAAATCAGTCGGTCCAATCAAGTTTGGTTCTCTGGCTCTCAGGGTCTCCCTGAGAAAGAAAGACCCTGTCTCAAAACAATAAAAATAAATAAATAAAATAAAATGTTTTATATTCTAATGCAGAAAGGTGCTGTATAGCCTTTCTAATATAGCAAGATGAAAACATCTTGAACAGTCATTACAGTATCACAACCAGGATGTTGACACTGATACACAGGATGAGGTACAGAAACCAATAGATCTTAAGATAGTAACTTTAATCACCGTCTTGATGTGCCCCTCAGATTGTCTGGCACAAGCTGCTGAGTGTCAGGGGACAGGGCTCCTCTGTGCTCTTGTTTGTGGGCATTGATGACACTAGGGGCTTCACTTTCCTGACAGTGTTTCCTTTCCCCTTTGGCATGTTTCTCCCATGTCCCTTGAAGTTCTCACTGCTGCACAAGAACAGCAGGACGAAGGTCCTGAGGTGGTTGACACCAACAGGTAACCTATCCTTGAGCATGCCGCAGAGCTCCACAAACACTTTGCCACCAGAAGCAAGAGCAGGTTTCAGCCTCTGAACCCCGGTTTAGTAAATTGGACTCCACTGTTCCTTTGTGTCCCAGGTGTTGGCAGAGCAGAGGCTCTTGGAGTTTTGTCCTGGGAGTTCATGGTTTTCTGGGGAGGCACAGATCCCAGGCAGAGTCAGGATGGGACGTGAAGGACAAACCCACACGCTGGCAGCCCCAGGATGCACATCCTCTCGGGTTTCCGAGGAGAGCTGGGAGGGTATGACCTTGGGAGTAAATGATTATGACACACTGCAGCTTCCTCTGCCATGCACGTCGCTCTGTAGGAAGCAAAGGTGAGAGTAACTGCATGTCAGCTGCTGCTCATTTTATACTTGGCGTATCCCTTGCTATTCATCTTATATTCAGCTATGCTGTCTTTTAAATTTTGTTCTCACTAAAGGAGAATCCATGGAACCAAGACAGCAGGTGTGGAACCTGTGGCCAGGCCGTGAGGCAGTGGCACGGAGCGCAGCGGTGTACAAGTTCACACACGCCACTTACCCAGCTCGCTTTCTTGGGTGCTCAAAATCAACCCCACAAGTAGAGCAAGGCGCCAGGGACAAAGGCCCGGCCACTGAGTCACAAGCCCTGTGAGAATGCCTGCCCCTGTGCTTGTCCTGACTTCCCATTTGTAAGAGAAGCTGTAAGTTGGACTTTTCTTTAAAAGCAGACAAAGAACTCAGATTTTAACCCAAAGCCCTCTGACAACCCCCAGGAGCCCAGGGAAGGTGGCTGTCACCTATACCTTACCCACCAAGCTTACAGCCTTTTCTCTGTGATCCCTTTCTCTGTCAGCCTTCCTGTCTCGTTAGCCTCAGTATTCTACCCATTTTTCTGAACTAGATCCTCAGTGTCACAGGTGTGGTGGCACACACGTGTCTGCTCAGACACGCAGGAGGCTGAGGCAGGAAGATTAGAAGTTTGAAGCCAACCTAGACAATTTAGCAGGACTATCTCAAAATTAAAGTGGACTTAGCTCAGTGGCATGAGTGCCTGCCTGGCAAACGCAAGGTCATGAGTTCAATCCCTGGTACCGCAAAAAAATAAAGTAAAATAAAATAAAAGTGGACAGATGAGCTGTAGCTTAGTGGTTGAACACCTATCTCACTGTGTGAAGCCCTGGCCCATCTCTAGCACCTGGAAAACAAAAACAAAAGCAAAACTACCTCAGTGTTGTTCTCCTCTTGTCTTTCCCTGCAGCCAAACCTGAGGCTGTTGATTGACTGGAAGTTTCCCTCATTTTTCTTTCTTTCCTGCCTGCCTCCTCCATTCTAGTTCCTGGTTACTGCAGCTCTATCTACCAGGTTCATCTCACTAGCCTCTTTCGTCCTCTGCCTCTTCAGAGAGTCTTCAGGTCCTCATTGCTGACCATGTGACTTCCACACCTCTGCCCGGAGGATCAGGCCTCAGGACATCCGCCTTCGGCCTCCTCTCTGTCACGTACCCGCTGAGTTCCTGACCAAGCCTCATATCGTCCTCCCTCAGTGTTCTGTGTCTGTCACGTATCCCCTGAGTTCCTGTCCAGGCCTCAGGTCGTGTGCCCTTCGCCTTCCTCTCTGTCACGTATCCCCCATGTTTCTGTGCAGGCCTCAGGTTGTCTGCTCTCCGCTGCCACTGACTGTCATGTCCACCCTGCATTCCTGACCCACTGCTTATCAGGACCAGCTCACTTCCTCTCCAGCCTTGGAATCTTGGGAGGCCCTGGGGTACGGTGGGTTCTGAGGTTACAGCTCTCTTGTGTTTTCGTCCTCTGTTACCATTGATTGGGAGCCTCGGAGCAGGATGGAAGTAGAATAAAGGAAGATGCCAGGTGACACCTGTGACTCCACTGTGACCCAGGAGCTGGCTGGGAAGAACAAGGCTGCTTTGGTCTCTGCAGACTCCCAGGCAACATCCTGTGCCGAGCTAGGGGAGTGGCCTGTGCCTCCCACCTCAGCGCCCTTCTTAGCTGGTCTTTGCCCTGCCTCCCCAGCCTGGGCTGCATGCTTCCTCGATGTGCGTGTGGCCTGGCTAACCAGGCTGTCGTCTGGGTTCAGAGCTTGCTGCCTGCCCTGCTGCATAGACAGCTGGTGTTCGTGTGGTTTGAATCTTTTATCAACTAGGGCAACTTGTTGGCTCACTGATGGCCTTCCTCAAGTAAAGAAGTCTTGTGATAAGTTCTCTTGTGAGTCTCTTACCTCGCTCCCTGTCTCTCTGGCCATTGGGTTGAGCTTCCTTGACAGTGCTCGTAACACCTGGACTTGGTCGCTCAGCTATGCCGCTGTCTCTCATTTTCCTGTTGGTTCCAGGAGGCAGTTGTGCTGCTTTGCTGTCCCCGACAATTAATGCCATGTCTGATCTCTGGGATGTGCTCAAGACAGCCACTCCTCGGTGCTTGCTAATGACACCCGTGTGTCTGTCAGGAGCCCTCAGATCTGTGACTGTCCTTGACTGAGACATAGGTGTAGGATGATTGTTAGGCTTCCCAGCTAAGTAGCATGCACTGAACAAAATCCTCTAAATGGGGCCTCAGATCCTGCCAGGAGCACTTCGTGTGTATTATTTTTTTCAACGTCATGGTGTGTGGAGTGAGTTCTGTTTGCTGTGGTGCAGACTTACATGGCATTGGAGTCACGTGGCTGGGCCCACATGTGTGCCTCAGCTGGTGGACAGGCTGAGTGGGGAGGAACAGATGTCTGAAAGCAGGAGTATGATGGAATGATGCCTAGCACTCCAGTGGAGGCCTGACAGACACACGGATGGAATGATGACTTTTCTATGGCTTTCCATTTTGAGACAGCCTGTCAAACAAGTGTGCAGAAGGTTAACCTGGGAAGCAGATGAAATAACCTGAAAGGACAGAAGCTGCTTAATGATTCAGTCATGAAGTTAGCTCAAAACAGAGTAAAATACAGAAGTTGGAGGTTGTACTGAACTCTCGGTCCTCAGTAAGAATGGTCACACTTATATCTTTCCTTTGTTTTCTTTTTTTGCCAGGTGATGGTTGTGGGCACATGGTGACCTATCAGGACAGTGGCACAATGACATCTAAGAATTACCCAGGAACTTACCCCAATCACACAGTCTGTGAAAAGACGATCGTGGCCCCAGAGGGGAAGAAGCTGATTCTGAGGCTGGGCGATGTGGATATCGAGTCCCAGACCTGTGCCTCCGCCTCGCTCCTCTTCATGAGCTCTGTGGAGCAGTACGGTAAGAACAGAGTGTGGTGTCCCTGAGCAGGGGAGCGTTCAGGTGTGGGCACGTCATGCAGTGTGCTGTCTGACCTCAAAGCCTAGCGCTGAGCGGGAAACTCTTGGTAGCTCCGATGGAAGCCTGAAGCTACAAGGACATGGAAGGAATGTGGGAGAGCCCAAGTGTGTCAGCAGCCTCGTCTGAGTACGAGTCTTGCTGAGAAGGGGTTGGAGATGTGTGGCCTTGCCTCGAGCATCTGTGCTTACTTGGTGGCCAGTGTTTATTGGGTGGAGACCACGTGTTTCAGGTGCTCTGTGAGGAACTCGATTGGATGCAGCGGTGATGAGGCAACACTCTTCTCACAGAGCTTGCATCTGGGGATGGAGGAAGAGGAAACAAACAGGTGAGCCTAGGGCAGCTCAGGAGGTGAGAACAGAAAATACGGAATGGGAAAATCATGGCATCCAAACGCAGTGTTGCGCCTGTTCCTGCACCTGTTGGTGCTGCCTTGGTGAGGATAGGGGAGCCTCTCCCACTGGGGACATTGCAGCCGAGACCTGGGTGTGTCGTGGAGAGGGGACAGCAGCTGCCAAGACCTAACAGCCTGTGACAGTGGCTCTTGTGCCCGTGGGATGTGCTGCTGTTAGCCGAGCTGGGCTGATTCTGAGCTCCAGGTAGCGGTTTGGAGTTGAACAATTGCACAATAAAGACAAAATCCTTTATAAAGGTTCTGAGTTTAGAGATTCTCTGAAGTCCTCTATAGATTCAGATCCAAAGCTGATAGAAGGTTCAGGGAACTTCCTGTCTGCTGTTGGCTCTTGGGGTTTCTTGGATGCCTCTATGATCACCTGTTTCTGCTCTCTGCTCGGAGTCCGTGCTTTGCTCCTGGTGCCTCACTGCTCCAAGCCCAGCTGAGCCCCAGGACACTCAGGCCCCATGGGAAGGAAGATCTGAGATTGTTCTCCATTCCTGGGAACATTGTGTCTGCTTTAATGACAGCTGGATTCTCTGACAAACTCGAGGTGGTTTCCATATCATTGGCCATCACTCTTTAACTGGCACAGTCACACTGGGCAAATGACACTTGGAGGGACACATAAGGGCCCTGGAGACCCTTGGTCACTGACCATGTGCTAATGTAGGTGGGTACCTGTCAGGGATCCTTAGCCAGAAGATTCCTTCCCATCCCAAGGAGGGGTGAGGAGCATTGGAGAAGCACTGCCTTCCCTGGAGGATGACCTGCAGTTCCTCCTGCTCAGAGCCAAAGCTCATCTCCTGCCATGGGGAGGGAGCAGAGCAGGACTGCGACGTCCCCTCCGTGGGTGTTCCCCCTGGCTCTGGTGTGGTCCCTAATAAGAAAAAGATGAAAAAGGATGGATCAACTGAGCATCTCCACCTGGTGCAGGTGACCTGCCCTATTTTAGGGCAACCTCTCCACATCTCCAGATTCTCGAATTTTCAAGATTTAGACTCCTCACTAAGAAATGGATAATGAATTGTAGTTTATTTGTAACAATGAAGCCAATTAAATGTTTATTTCTCTTTAAATTTTTAAAATACAAAGTTATGTTTGTTTGTTTTGGTTTTTCTCCGGTACTGGGAATCGAACTCATAACCTTGCACTTGCCAGGCAGGCACTGTGCCGCTGAGCTAAATCCCCAGCCCATGTTTGCTTTTTGGGAACAGAATCTCCGCCCATAGAAATCAATATGATCAGTGCCTATTGTATGCTAATAGCACACATTTTCTAGCATCTCACATCCATCCTTGGTAACTATTAATTTTTTTCTGCAGATAAACTGAGGCACAGTGATGGCAGAGATCACAGTGCTAGGCAGTTACGGGCTGGAAGGAAGACTCATTTCTGTGTCTTCAAGACATCGCTTTCCACTCCCCGCTGCCCTTCCTGATGCTATGCACCAATTCTGCCTAAAACACATAGTGAATAAATTTCATGTGGGGATGTTCTTAAGACAAAATGTTTAGTGATGCTTAGAATTTCTCTCTTCTATGGCCAAAGAGTTTCTCTGACCAAAAACTCTCACCAGACTGCAATTTTGAAATAGCGCCTGGTCCGATTGGATGCCTTGAGAGTGCAGGCAGAGGGGATATGGCTTGGCCCAGGCAGTGACCAGAAGCAGAGGTGCAGGGCACCGGCCTGAGTGAGGGCCACGCAGATCCTGTAGCCACATGCTCCAGGCTGCACTACTTTGGCGCCTGGGGCTTCTGCGTGTGCAGGGAGAGGTCTCCAGACAGTCCGGTGTGGCTGAACTAGAGTGCTTTTGGTTTTCCTGCCTGGGATTTTAAGACCCAAAACTAACAGAATTTTGAAGATAGAGTAATATTTTGAAAAAGAGTCAAGATTTCTGGCCTCTATTTGCAAGTGGTGCTGGGCGTGGACAGAGTGGGACCAGATGGGAGCCACTAAGGGCTGTGCTTATACAGCACTGTCCGCACCTCTCAGTGCCGGGCACCACGGCCGGGTTATGCAGTGTTGACGCATAGACTTTGGTGTTCTTAAAGTCAACATCTTGCTAACAAAATGAGTTGTAAATAAGTGTGAACACCTATACCAGCTTTCCTAATAATCAGATGAATATGCACTTGGTTTCTGCATGTTAGAAGGCCTGGTACAGACAAGCTGGGTTCGTGCCCTCTTTGGTATTTGTCATCATCATAAACACTCGTTCAGGCTCACACACCCACCAGAAGACAGGACTTTGTGTCTGTGGCTGAATAAGAAATGAATGAAAGCACAGAAATGGATGAAGTGAAACATATCACCTTTACTTTAGTAAATGTGTTAGGTTTTATAAGGAAAATAACGTTCTGAAGATTTTTTAAACATTTCTTTCACTTTTAAACTTACAGAATTTTTTTCATGAATTATTTATATACTGTTAAGATCATGTGCATTATTATCTTAGCCCCTGCAAAAAAACTCTAAATGTTTAAGTACCACAGTTTGCCTGGTTGATGCTGTTAGTGTAACTAAGGGAACCTTGGGTTTTTATTTAAAAGGTCAGAGTAACTGAGGCCCCCTCATAAAGGAACACTAATGTCAGTGTTTTGGTCTGAGATCCAGGTCAGGAGCAGGAAGCATCTCGATGTTCTGTCTTTCACTCTTCTGTAATCTTCATACTTCCTCCTCAGCCTTGTGTTTTGCACAGTTTAAAGAGTGCTGACCAGTTATTTTTCAGAATGTCAGTATGGCTTGATTTAACTTTCTCTGTGATTAAACTTGTATGATGCATTTCTGTCCCACATAATTCTACTACTTTTTAAAGTCATTTTTAAAGGCTTGTTTACAACAATTTCCAACACTGGAATTTGTGAGGTGGACTTCGAGAAAGATGGTGGAGTGGTGAGCAGCACAGAAAGAACCTCTCCAGTTGCTGGTGTCCAGACACTGGAATATAGCAACATGAGGAAGAGAAGGAGGGAAATGGGTCCCCAGGATCCAGCGAGGATCTGAAGCAAGAATTGAAGCCTATGGGGAAAGCGAAAAGAAACCTCAATGCCAAAGAAGGAGGTGGCAAGAGGTGCTTTCTCCCTGGGGCAGCTTGAACCTGTGATGCATAGTGACTGTTGGAGACCACAGAGTCCTCCACAGAGCAATGCACCAGTGGAACAGAGCAGTGGAAGCAGTGGACTGCAGTAGCTGGTGAGATATTCAGGTTCAGACACCACAAAGAGAGGATGAAAGGCCAGTAGCCATCATGGAGAGGGAACAACTGAGCTCAGAACTCCAGGCATCTGTAAGCTGGCTCCATCTAGCAGCTCCCACTGCCAGGGTGAGCCACAGCCAAGTTCAAGCTGGTAGCAAGCACTGGAGTGTTGTAGGCTGAACAAATCGGATTTCAGCCCAACAACCAGAAATCAACGTGGACATCAGTAGAACTAAAGGTGCAGGCTTGCTAGGATTACCAATGCCCCACCCTGAACCTATGGCTGGCATGCTGGGATGTATCAGCACAGATCTGGGCTTTGTCTGCCCACTGTCTACCAGTACAGCAGAGACACGGCCTGAAGTGGACCTCTTTTTTCTTCTTTCTTTTTCCCCTTTTTCCTTGATTGTTCTTGTTTTTATATGATTGTGAACATTGTTTCTAGTTTTTTTGTTGTTGTTCTGTTCCGTTTCTTTTATTTCTTCATTCTCTCTTTCCCTTCTGTCTTCTTTACCAGTTTCGCAAATTTCTCATAATATTCCTTTGTCCTGCAGCCTTGCTTCTAGTCTCTTCCTCTTCTGTTTCTCTATTTTCCCCCCCAAAAACCCCTTTAAAGTTTCTCTTTTGAGGGTAAAGTTGCCATTTGAAGGTATATTTACTGTGTAAAATTTTCTGGTTTGTTTTAGATTTGTTATATAACCACAAATATAGTTCATAAAGTTAAAGGTGGCAAATTAATATTTACCACAGTTTGTCATTTTCTAAGCTGTTTTTGATGCCACTGTTATTGCTGATTGTACAAAGTGACATATAGTGGACCCTTGACTTATGAACTCAGTTTGTTCTCAAGGGTTGGTTGTAACTCATGTTATCAATTGGAGGTTCAGGCTCCTCTACACAGCCTTCAAAGTCAGCCTCCTGTATATAGGCAAATCTCAGTGTCCTTAGAGAGACATTGGCCCCAGATTTCTCAGTTAACACCATACAAGAAAGGATGTTGTAATGTTTTTTCCAGAATTCTTCAGAGGTTAAATTTATATCTAAGGCTATCTGGAAGCACAAGTGGCCTGCGTTTGGGTCATAACTCAAGATTTTGGTCATAAGTTAAAATTAAAATTCTTGTCATAGCCCAAGTTGCTCATGTATTAGGCCAGGCTGGTTGTAACTCAAGGGCTCACTGTAATTGTTCTTGTAAAGGGAACAATCCAAGGGAAAGAGATAATAATCATAAATATATATGCACCAAATGCCAGAGCACCCAACTATGTAAAACAAATACTAATAGATATGAAAAATCAAGTAAGCACTAATGCAATTATAATGAGAGATCTCAATACTGCAGTCACAAAT